AAAGCATAAGAATGTTCTAATATTTATGGGGATTTGAAGTTTTAAGACTTCTTACATTGAAAAGTCAAAAGATAGTGAGTCTATCGGAGCATACTCTAAATGTCGTGATACGCTCTTGATGATTGGAGATATCAGATTTATGTCTAAGTACTAAAAAACCTGTTCCAATAAAGTTGTCACTAAGCCTCAAAATGAATGTCGAATAACTTAGTTAGGAAGACTTTTCTAATGATATGTTTGTTGAGTTGAGTTAAATGCTATTTTGACGCTAGAATAACGACAGGAATTGGCATTTCATACAGAATCTCACTGTAGATCACAAACACATTCAAATGGTTACTCTGTAATATAAAGTAATTATATTTCATTTTCACTGAAATTTGTTGTTTTTCACAATGTTCATGACTTCAAAATTCTACTAATTTGCCATTTATAAATGCAGATAGGTTATCATTTTCAAAAACTTAGTGTCCTTTATTATTAATCTGGGTACTCCAACAGCCCAGGTATCATCGTGGATATCGTGCTCAGGTGTTTGTTACAAACTTGAGAAGCCTTTATCTCAATTTTCGAGGTACTCTGATGTCCTGCACGTAATAACTATAGTCATACGACCTTGACAGGTTTATGCATGACAAATAGTTTTCCATACGTCTTCGAGTAAATAATACTGTTTGTTCGTGTATTATATCAAGTAAACTTGTTTTCTATGAATTTATGCTTTACCACAGGATTAAGATTTTAATCTTATATTAGCAGAATATTGTCAGTGATGTTATTTGATGATATTACCTTAGTAAGATATTTTTTCCACCTATTTTGCATCAGTTTATTTCCACTGTACACTACATATGTATACATACTTCTTGATATGAGAAAAACAACATGAAAGAGATTGGAGATCATAATGATAATGTTGTTAAATTGATGTGTTTTACAGTGGTGAAATAGTTTTCAGACAAATTTACATAAATCACATTCCGGACAACGTTAAATGCAATAAACAGCAACGACTGAATTACAAAGCACGCATGTGTACTGAATTTGAAGCTGTAAAATAGTTTACTTATAAAGGTAAACTATGCACTGATGTCAGGAATTCGGAATCACCTTACAGAAGACTCTGTATCTAGTTTTCCTAGATGTGTTTAGTTCGCAGATTGTGTTTGTGACCTCAAAGCTTTCTTGTTTCTCTAACCGCCAGTTCTTAGACAAAAACAAAGTAAATCAATCTATGAAAGGTTAGGAAAAGTATAGTTGTTATTATAATAACTAATGTCTTCTTGTTCAATTAATCTGTGTTACTCATCCATTTAAAGTGCATCATAAATAGTGCTTACATTTCGCAAGAGGATTAAACTGACGACAGAGAAGTTTAAACTACGACTTCACCTGGTATAGTTGTGGTTATTAATAGAGAAATCAACTACTTTCTTAAATATAGTGTGGTATGAGCCTATTAGTTCCAGGATAACTGCTTCTTGATTGAAAAAACTGAGGGGTGACATCATTTATAATTTATATGGAATGTCTCCATCCTTATGTGCGGTAATTTTTATTAAGGTGTCAATATGAGTCTTGAAATTAATTAATTGTGTTGGCTGCTAATATTCCAGTGATTATATGCTACTTCGTAGTTATCGGTGGTTTATTAGCAAATCTTGGTTGTTGATGCAATCTTTCTTCAAAATACTTTAGTCTTACGAGCTAATTATCCTGAATCTCGGTTGCTTCCAAGACACGGCGTTTTCTATGAACTTGATAGAAATTTAGTATAATGTGTAAGCCATCGTAATTCAAGTAAGGATGTATTCGAGAAAAAGTCCATTTCTGTGTATGATAGCCTTATCCCCCCTCTGAATTAACCACCCAATAGTTCAGACACTTTATTCTAAGAATAAATCGACAGCTATGACAGTTGTCATCAAACTGTCAGTAGAAATCCCAAAACTGAACTGAGAAGGTTGTTTGAAGAGTAAAAGTATGAAGAAACCAAACCATCTGATTGTAAGTAAATACTAACCCATCAGTGAAGCTTCTTGAAAAGAGGGGTTTGACAATGCTGAGCATCAATGTATTATCTTAGTTGGATAATTTGAACTTTAGGGGAAACTAATAAAAAAAATCTGAAGTTGCAAACAGCTTTTTACGTCAAAGAAGAAAAATGAATTGAAGTGATATGTTTTCAAATTTACAGAGGCAGTATCAAAGTACTTTATCATTATTTGTCCCTTGGGTTCCTAATGGAACATAGGGCTTCAGTAGCACGTCTTCATTGCACTTTGTTCTCTGCAAACTTTTGAACCTTGCCCCACGACAGCCCACAAGCTCTCATTTCTTCCTTACACGATCTTCTTCATGTTACCCTCGGACCCCCGACTCGTCGCCTCCCATCTGGGTTCCATTCGAGGGCCCGACACGTAATGTCCCCGAATGGTCTTCTCAATGTGTGCCCAATCCAATCCATCTCCACGTTCTTCTGGATATTTGTTGAGTTATAGGTTCTTGGTTGGTTCGTTGCCAGCCGGAGTTCCTTGTTACTTATTCTTTCTGGCCATTTGATCTTCAATAACGAGCCGGCGTAGGCAGTTGTTGATGAATGTCTGTAGTTTGTTGGAAATCGCTTTCGTCTCTGAGCCATATAGAAGCACTGACTTGACGTTGGTGTTGAAAATCCGGATCTTGTTCTTTATGCTGAGTGCAGATCTCCACACTGGTACTTTACAAAGTCACTATTACGGTCTAGACACTAGGTGGTGTTCAGAAATTGGCTTATGGTCTGTCTCATTTGAAGGATGGAAATTCCAAGCAAACTACAATTCGAAGAAGAAACTGCTTATAAGCTTTCTACTACCCCATAAATTATTTCAGTGAAAGATATTATTCGTAATTGATGCTGTAAATATGATCTGTAATAGGACTGACGCTAGATTCTGACATCACTTGAAAAACCTATCTTATTGACTACTTAGTTTCTTACCCTGACTAAGTGCGATTACATAAATGACTTAGTCTCAGACTATTTGAATTTTATTTCTGTGTACCACTGGCAGTTTAATTTTAACAGGGTCAATTTTATCAACTGCGCAGCTTGTATGTTTCCTTCTATTCAATGAAAAATACTAGTTTGGATTTTTGGACATATTTTTGACTTCATTCGACCAAGAAAACGTTTAGTACTTTATCAAACAAATCTCGTCATAAAAGATTGATAAAAATAGGATATAATCTCAAACAGAACATATGGGAAGGGCATTTAGTCAATTAATAACGAAAACCCATTTCGTTAAGACTCAAACGGAGTCAACTGAGATCAATCAACAAATGACTAGACAGAACCGAAAGTTTATTTTATTCGTTGGATGATATTTAATGCAAGTTAAACTTGTCGCATAAATATAGCAAGTGGAACATGATGTTTGGGTATGAAAAGAATAAAATTCTGAGCAAAGCTAAGAAGTGAATGTTTTACTATACATGTCCTGCCTTAAGTTCCGAAAAACATTTGTGAAAGTTAATAAACTTCAGTCGTTATATTTTAATTCTTACATTATCAGTTTGATAGCTAAAATCGCTTTAGTATACCACTTAGCATTTTGACCGTGGTTGGTCTATGAACTTTCTTCTCCCGATAATTATCTCCAAAATTTTAACAAAAAGAATGTAATGGATTTAAGTAAAATCTTTTATCTCATACTCCACAGACTTAGTTTCTGAATGTTGTAAAGAGTATTGGGTTACTTTCACTTACAGATTACGTATTCTGAGAAGGCATCTAGTGGAAAGTCTTCGCTATATCTTTTATAGAATATTCAGTGAACGATAACCTCAGTGTCTAAACAACCTTAACTTTACACTAAAGAAGAACAGTTTCGATGCACCAATAAACTTTGGTTACAGAATAATTGAAATAAGGGGGAAAAGATTAATTCTGTGGTGAAAATAATAATAAAAACAATACTTCATGAACACGTTATGTGACCTCCAATACTTCTCTAGTAGCATGTAATAGAACTGCATAGATAATGAACATCAGTTATCTGATAAAGACAAAAACTAGAATAATTGGTTGCAATCCAACTTTCCAAGCAAACAGAAACATGCATTTCGACCTATTTAGGACTAGTTGGTTGGATTTATAGGTATATCCAGCTGACAGGTCCTGAATAAGACGAAACGCGCATCCTGGATTCCACTGCTAGTCACTATCCAACTTTAATATTAGAATTTCATTATGATAAGCAATATCCAGACATCCGTACAGGAGCCCATATGCCAATAGAAACCGATCCTTTTGGTCCAGTCAGTGATGGGATGAAAAAAGCATCATCATAAAAACAAGAACAATTTCTGCTTATATGAGTGATAGTGACATCTCATCTTGATTGCTCAAGTATTCAGAAATTATTCTTGCTGCTTCTTATACTCTGAATTTGAATCAAGGTCAACATTTCTCAATAAAAACATTTTAGATGGTTCTGAGACCAGAATTCGAATGCTATACGCTAGCTCGAAAAAATGCTAAGTGTTAATTGATCTGTCTACATAGAGTTAATCAGAGGTTCATTTCTCAATATTACCTTGCAGTGATAAATATCGTAAGTAGATTAAAGAATTGCTCATAGCATATGCTGTGGTAGGTGATATTTTCATGTGTCAGGAGGATCACAATCGCCTGCTAAAATAGTTACTTACAGTTGATGAACTATATGTAAGGAGAAAGGTTCATTGGGAACCTCACTTTCAATTATTGTAAAAACTACTGTTACACCCAATTTATAATACATGTTAATTATTACACAGAAGCCCAAGAGCTAAATTTGTCTGCTGATTCGTAAATTGCAACTCAACCCGGTTTGAACTTGTGATACTGAACCAATCTGATAAATCTTTCAGAATACATTCAAAGCCTCGTTATCATGACATTTTTAAAAGGTATGAAAATGAATTATAGTTGATCGAACAATTTCACTTCTCTAAATCAAAAGCTGTTCACTTACTTCACGAAATTTTACCATTGCCTTGGAGATTTTATCATCTGGAGGTATCCATGTGAAGTGTATTTCACGACGATAACACCTAAGGATGAACTGTCCTGGAAGTGATTGACAGTAAACAGGTTTCACAATGAGAACTGGTGGCTTAGGCACTTCATCATCAGGAAACTGAAAATTTTCCACTTCTGTTCGGTTAAAGTCGGATGACACCATTGTTAAATTTGATGCTGGGAGTGTGGATGTTGTGACTGAATTATTCATTTTGAATTGTTCAGTTGTGATTACAGTGTGAGTAGACTCTGTATCATGCAATTCCACAAAATTAAATCCTTTGCTGTGTAGATTAAGGAGAATTTCAGTTTGAAAAGTTTCCGAGTTCAAATTTGTCCGCTGTCTTAAATAAATGTTCAGTATAAATATTTGAGGACGCCAAATTGATGTCAACTCTTCAACTGCACACTTGTTTAAAATGTATTTCTTGGTTAAACATTCTGAACTTTTGAAGGTAGTCGAAGAATATTGCAAACCTTTCTCATTGAAGCTACAATCTAGGACAGTTGAAAAAGTACAGATTTATTTATTGCAGTTTAAAACAGATAAATTGAATGTAAATCCTTTTTAAATGTGTCCCAATTTATGAAATATAATTTGAAGCTGACTGAAATATTTTAACTAAACTCAAAAGCATTGTGCCCAATCGATTCAAAGAAGGTTATATATGTGCATTCCAAATTTTATACATATATATGCATGTATGCGAGAAAAAGTATACAGTTTCAGAACACGTCAGCACAGAACACGCTTCATCCGTAAAAGCACTAACTACGACACAATAAATAGGATAGAGAAATAATACACATTCGAATATATGGAATGACCCACAAAGATTCTGATAGGTTGGTATCAGGCAACATGTGATTCATCTCTCATCAGAAAATCCCAAAAATATAAACATTTACATCAATGAATCTTAGTGCATTACTGTATATTTATTTCTTGCTACACTGAATAAGTGTGTGAACGGATATGCATGTATTTTCCTGCTTGCTTATGTGTGCACGTATAGGAGTTTGCATGAGGACAGTAAGTCAGTCTGTAAATATGCATATGGACATCTGCCTTTCTAGAATGAATGTCGTGGACACACACACTTTAGTGTTACAAACAGGTCAGCTGATGGTGATGAATGTCTGTTATGCGCTTGCCTGATATCTTATGCATTTTTTTCTTACTGATTAGGGAAAACCTACTTTAGAAAAATTTCCAGTTATTTGGAAATATCACTCGAAACAATAATGACACTCATCAAAAGTATTTCAGTTTCCTAGTTTCATTTTTGCGCCAGCCTCTACAACAAGTAGCTAGTTGATCTCACTTTGTGTTGTTAAGTAAATTGGACTTTAAAGTAGCATTCTTCAAGAACTGGCACCAGTTGAAGAACAACTGAAGACCTAGAAGCATTGGAAAGCCACTGCATCACGGGTTAGGGCTCCTCAGCTGCACACAACCACGACCCGGATTGGGATCGAACTCAAAACCTTCAGGTCTCACGGCGAACGCGTCACTTATTCACCCACTGGGTTGGAGTTCAATGGTCCACAGTTTCCTACTTCCGTTAATTTGTGACATAGTACATCTATCACCTAAGGTCTTCAGTCAACATCCACTTCACCACCTACTGGTTTACCCCACAGGTCACGAACTCTCATAAGAGTTTTGGGATATCCATTTCGAAATATATCAGTCAATGATGAATACGATCTTAGGCATAAAATCCCGAATAACCTCAAGATACGTTACCGAATAGTGCTCATTAGTGAAATGCTTCCAGACGAATATCGTGAAGTTCTAATGAGAAGCCTTGAACTGTGGGGTAAACCAGTAGGAAGTGAAGGGGATGTTGACTGAAGACCTTAGGTGATAGATGTACTATGTCACAAATTAACGGAAGTAGGAAACTGTGGACCATTGAACTCCAACCCAGTGGGTGAATAAGTGACGCGTTCGCCGTGAGACCTGAAGGTTTTGAGTTCGATCCCAATCCGGGTCGTGGTTGTGTGCAGCTGAGGAGCCCTAACCCGTGATGCAGTGGCTTTCCAATGCTTCTAGGTCTTCAGTTGTTCTTCAACTGGTGCCAGTTCTTGAAGAATGCTACCTTAAACTTTATATCCCCGCTAACCTAAAAAAAATGTGTCTTTATTTGATACTCGCAATTTTGTGTTCCTATACAATGTGACCTAGCCAATAATGCTTCACCGTTTGAAATGATCGGTACTGGGTTCATGTCTCAACGGGAACAACATCACTCACTGGGATGCAGACACATCCAGTTGACGAGTCCCAAATAGGAAGAAACGAGCCTCCTGTATTCCGCCACTATATTACCAAGATGGATAAGTTGGTTCTGATCATCCTACTTTACGGGAAGCCATAGTTATTCTTTAATCTTCACAGGAACAATCAAATGGTCAGCTAAGCTGGGATACTAAAAATGCGTTTCATTCGAAGGTGTTTCGAATACTGAGTCGAAATGGTAGCAATGCCTTTAAAGGCGAGTTGATGTGACGGCTCTGAAGTCCCCTAGAATTTTTTATCAGTTAACTAACACAGACTCACGAAAAGTTGAACCAAGACATAAAATACTTGACGAACACACTATTTTTCAAAATGACGGCCTTTATTTTTGTAAAACATCATCCCATTTTCAAACGATTGTAATTCATTCTCCTGTTAGAAGCTAACTGAAGTTCTGAACTATATAACTCTATCCACCTTCATATCTTTAAAAATCCTTTAGTAGATTTAGTGGAAGATGGGTAACTAGGTAAGATAATCATACTGATTCTTTTTGGGCATTCTTTAGTATTTCAAGTTACAAGAGTTCATGGTAAGTTGCATTATGCGACGTCAGTTTGGATTCTGGTGAGTTGACTTCGGGTGGCTTCCAGTGTAGGTATTGTGATTACTTGTAGGAGTACTTAAAAAATCTACGCAATCGTAAACAATATTATCTTGTAATTAAGCGCTGCGATTAGATAAACTACCATGGAGTTATTCAAAAGGTATGAATTAAGTATGCTAGTGATTCAGCGGATTGTAAATATTTTCTATATCCATAAAAACTAAGCAGATCATTTCGGATCACAGTTTGCTGACGGTTTTATTTGTTTTGTTTAGATTAATTGTTAAAAATGCTGGTGGTACCTTCTGATAGCTTAACGGGGAATTTGGTGGATGTGTTATATAAGTTGAAGGGCTTGTTAAACCTTATTATTCATGTAAGGGGGCCTGAAACAAACAGCAAAATATCAAAGAAAAATCAAAATCCACTCGTTCACCTTATTCACATTTTCTCAGCAGGTAATGAGTCACTATCTGGCTACCGACACGTGGTTAGGTGGAGCTAGGCTAGAACCCGTGACCTATCGAATGGAAATCAGTTGCCTACACCAGTGAACCATAGATCTAGTCTACAGGAACATCTGAATCCCTATTTGATTTTTTCCAGCAGGTACTAACAGACACAAAACCAAGATTTAGGACTACTTATTGTGTGCCTCCAACTACTTAACACCGGAATGTACAATGATTGTAAGCACAAAAGCATAATCATGTGTTCAAAAATTGATTTGTCAACACTCAAAAACAATCAACATTAAATAGGTCATTCTTCGATGATCTACAAAGTTAAATCTTGCTGTTAGTCCCCACCTCCCCTAAATGATCTTTTTAAAATATTTTTAGACCGTAATTGGATAGCACTATGTTGTGGATACTACTGCAAGAAGCTGCTGGCATTTAAGCCTTTTGTGGTAGCGTCGACTATGTTCATGAAATTTCTCTGTCTTCCCAAGCATTCTTAAAGTTGACTAGTAACAGTGTAGATGTATTTTACACCTTCATTCAATTCCTGAAATAGTCATGTGAACCATCTTATGTTACATTGTATGCGGTAATGAAAAGTAGAAGTACTTATTAAAAGTGAATTCCTATTTTTCAATCTCTACTGTAAAATATTTAGATATTTGTGCAAAAACAATAAAAAAAATGAAGCGATTGAACAAATTATTTTACAAAGGTTGGTGTAACCAAATAACGTTCGGTGCATTAAATCCCATTACTTTAAAGAATATCGCGGAAATAATTTGAAAAAATGCATAAATTAGTGTTAGGTATAGTAATTTTATCATTATCAGTTGTATATTTGCAGGTGTTCGTCAGTCTTATTAAGACAAACGTCATTATCTTAACAGGAATCACCATTTTGCACCCATTTTTGAATGGTGTAAACCAACCAGTAGAATCTCTGCATTTATGATTTCTACTAAATGGATATTGATAGCCGAACACCTCACAGACCAGCGTTAAACAGTTCAGCTGACTATTACACATTCTATGAACTACGAAACGATATAAGTTATTACTCAATTATTTCTTCAAACTCCATCTTAAAGTAGATAGTCTCATAACAGAATATTATAAATTCATCTAGATGTCAACAAAACTCAGAAACGCAGCTATGATTCAAACCCAACAGTCTGCATGTTTACTCACTTGACTGAAAGTGACGGATAAAAGGTGTTTTTTTAAAATTTTCTCAAGAAATGTGTTTATTGTTTCAAGAGTTGGATTGGCTGAATAATATGCAGCCAAATAATCCTAAGTTAAATACTGCGGAAGATAGTGAGTGGAAAACAGCAGCTTTAAACTTGAAATTGTACATGAGAAGAATATTAGCAATGCTTGTTCGTCTCAGTTAACATCTCTTCTGATTAAAACTATTCTGTTCGTTTGTTCCGAATCATTTTTTAGCCGGTATAGCTTTAAAACAAACTACAGTATTAACTTATGTGTCTAACTATGATTACTTTACAGGACATAATCTGCAATATTATTCGGGTAGATATATTACAAGATCACTTTAGATCTCAAATGAGTTTCCATCACTGACTGATTTAGATCAGGAAATCAATTAAAACGAGTTTGGTTGAAGAGGGATGCTCATTTCTAACTATAGATGATGAATGATTTTTCCAGATATGATCTAACATCACTAAATAGTGGTAAAGTAGATGAAGATGAGCAATGCGCAGGATTTCAGCCACAACTGTGGTGCGAGTTTGAAGCTAATTGACAAGAAACTCTATTTTTTAGGGACCACCCATTAAAGCCAGGTAAAAGCAGTGGAAAATTCTTCATTCTTTTGCAACTCTAAATGAATTCATAGAACACCGTAATATCGTAAAGAAGTCAAGTTCTCA